AAATTATATTAAAATACGCATTATGTATGTATCATATTTATTACTTTCAAGAATCACAACCAAAAATTAATTAATTTATAATAAAATTTGACAATTTACAAATAACTAAGATATATATATATATATATATATATATATATATATATATATATATATATATATATATATATATGAGTGATTCTCTTGATTAGACACACTCTATAACATAAATAAAGCTATTATAAAAAATATTTAGTATGAGTCAAGTTTTTCTATAATCAAAAGTGAAAGCTAAATATTTTTATAATAATTTTAATTTGTACTGGAATGAGCAACTTCAGTTAAATTGGTTTGAATTGATCTACCTGTAATCATAATGTTTCAAGTTTAACTTTTTGTAAGAGTTGTCTTTGATCTTTTTTATTTGGATCGATTAACTATAGTCTAATTTATCGATTAACAGAGCTTGAGCACACTTTCAAGTAGCTACAACAACGAGTTTTCCTGTAAATTTAAAAACAGTCAAAGCTTAATTAAGCAATTAATATTAAGAAAAAGAGAAGATTAGTAGGTTACGTTACAACATGTTTTCCACAAAGATTCGATGTATTAATTGTATGTACGATGCAAGGCTCCGGCACATCTTATTTGAATAATTCTGCGACCTTCGATATTGTTTTTTTTGTTTCCCCTTTTTGTTAGTTTAAGAGTTTAAAATAGTTTTGTATAATAATAGCTTAATAGGTACATTTTTAAATTTGAAAAAGTCAATTATATATATCGTTTGTATTAAGATAACTACTACAAATTCAAATATTATATATGACCATAATTTTATGTGTATTACTCATATCAAATTATATTGACATTATTATTTAAGTTAAGATAATACATCGATTAAATCATAAATATTGAGTGAAACAAACAGTCATATACTTGTATATATGGCGCAATCTTGTGATGAATAGTGTATTACTTAACACATATGTGAAGAATATTTATCTTCAATTTAATAGTTTTGAACTTCTGAACAGTTAGTGAGTGGATTGCTAATGTAACTATAAGGTTGGTGAGTAGTGAGATGTTAGATGGAAGACTAAATTTTAAAGATTGGATATCCCGACCAACATCATGACCATAGATGTCGGCGCGAAGCCAAGAATTAGAAACCTAGCGTGGAGCATCATGGTCGGCATCACAACACATCAGCAGCGTAATACAAGGTTCAAAGAATTAGCCCTAAGAGTCACGATGTACCTCATGGCTCAATCCAAATTGTAATGCGACAAAGTGTCAAGTGAGATTGAGATACTTATCATGGTGAATATCACAATGTGATGTTTATCGAGATTATATGTATCTCAACTTATAAAGGTACGTTACATTAAATAGTTTTGAACCAAATTTTTTGATACTACTAAAAATATCAAATGCGGTATGCACAAAATGATACTATACATTTCAATTCGACACTCTCAAATGTACCCAACTAATGTAATTAATTTGACCTAATATATGAAATATGCGATCTTTTGAAATTTTGAGTGAACAAATTAAAGGTAATCATTGTTTGGGTAAAAGAAGAAATGCCCGTGCAACAAAAATAGTAATTATACTACACAAATGATAATTAGAGTCAAATCGGAAGTGCCAAGATTCACCTCACTTATTATTCCATTTTGTTGTTTCTTCCCAGTTTTTTTCCTTTGATGATTGATTGGACATCTAAATAAGCATGCAAGTTACCCTATTAGACCTAACGCACCATCATTCCAACATTAATCAATACTTTACATCAAATTAATCCAAGATTACCACATGATTCCCTATTTATCTTTTCTTTTCTCCTAATAAAAGTGTATAACATAGATAGATCATCATTATAAAAAGATCCAAAAAAAAAAAAAAAAAAAAAAAAAAAACTAGTTGCAATGTATAGATCATCTATATTGATCTAACCATTGATTTTCCCATAAAAATACACTATGATCCGACACATCCAAACTAATCATGTCAATCCTCTAATTAAAAATATTTACGTCATCTCATCCTTACTTTCATGGGCTCTCTCATTGTCTCTCTAGCACCCAATACACTTTGACAATTTAATTTTTAAATAAAGTAAGATAAAATACATATTTCAATATATGAATGTAAAGCTCTTTGAATTGATACATTACTCAAGTGCTCAACACATTTGTCTTATTAAAAAAATAATTTTTTTTATAAACTTTCCTCTTAATATTCCCCTACTAACATAATGGTAGAACACTTTAAATACTCGACCCTACTATAATTTTTTAAAAATCTAATTAATAATCAAATAAAAAATAAAATAAAATAATCGAGTAAGGCAGCATCAAAAGGGAATTTAGCATTACTATAAAATAACAAAAAATAAAAAATAGTCCGCCGTAATTTAAATGTTTAGTTAAATTTAAATATATTGCTTCCATAGATTGAGTGAAATAAGAATTGCCGTGATTCATGACTCTTATTATCTTTATAATTAAATCAAATTCCTGTTGGTTGATTTGATGTTTAAGGGACAAATTACACTAATCTCGTTCCTTTACAAGAAAGGTAGATGCATGATTCACTAAATTTGAGTTTAAAAGTCACTTTAATGTTTATTATAATTGTTTTTTTTTTTTTTTTGTAATTAATTACTCATTTCATCTTATCATATTCTAAAGTGTAATATATTTTTAAAAATTTTACTAGCTAGCTTTGATTAGGCAAGCTGCAAGAAGTACAATTAAAGTTTAATTAAGTAATTAGCTGAACATTAATCTAGCTTATCTCTATGTCATTTTCAACATTACATTATGGTCTCTCTTCTCCCAAGTGGCAATTAAGAATCCCTTGAAATTGATCAACCCTCAGGTTGAAATAGTGTTTACGCCGGAAACCATCATAAATTTTATTAAAAAATACAAAAATCATAATTTAAATCCTATGAGAGCGAGTTTTCACTCTCAATTTCTTATTTAAAAATATTTACCTGTCATGCAATACTTATGCGTGCGAGTGAGAAGACCCGCTTGGGGTTGGCGGAATTCAACATTTTCCACCAAGAACCCATTGAAACTAGTGGGGTTTACACTTTATTTTAGCATGATTTAATGTAGCATGTCTGGTTTAGGAATGGTAATTAAGTTAATTATTCCGTTTTGTTTAAGGAATTATTAGAACTTGGAAATTTCACCGACAATATAAAGTAAAAGCTAGGTTAAAGACTTAAAGTAATGAAAAACAAGGAATCAAGTACTACATTAGCAAGAAAAACGAGATAGCAAGTGTAAGAACCACTATGGTTTTTACTTTAATTATTATCATGACTGGATGGTATATAAGTATATTATCATATTTTATTTGATGAATGTTCTGTCAACGTTATCGCCTGTTTTTTTCATTATAAGGTTAAAATTTAAAATCTTGTTGTAGGTTAGTAACTGTATTTAACTCATTGGAGTTAATTCTTTTAGTACATAACAAGGTATCAATCATGACTGGAGATCAATACACCGTTTCTGCTCCCTCAATTACAAGATTATGTTTCTCGTAGATTATACTCTGTATGGTTAGATCATATTTAGATCTAACAGACTGCACTTTAGTGCATATTTGATGGGCTCACACTTTGTTTTCTTCCGTCTTTCTCTTGATAAAGACAAAAGACTTAATTATTATCAAAGTGGTGTTTTTCACAAAGCATTCATGCATGCAAGCCATTAATTTCCACAAAAAAATTAAAGTAAGCAATTTGGCATTTTCCAGCAGATCAGAGAGAAGAACTATATTCCACAAACTGAGAAAAAAAATGAGTTTCATTCAATGGATCTCATGATGTGAAAGCTTAGCTTCTAATTAAAAACATTATTTTCTTCACTCTTTTGTCTGTTTTTTCCACTTCAATAAACAAAAAAATGGAAAACGGCTTTAGTACTGTTTGTATACATATTCAAAAGCATAAAAAAAAAGGAAAGGGAAAATACAGAATTATTGTCTCTGCATGCCTATCTCATCTGCTATAGATATATATATCATATATGGACAACTTTGCACGTCTATATATAAATTTATCCTCGTACAGTTCGATTTCAACTTTTGTTAAATTCTACAATGAAGTCAAGGATTTTGTCGTGCATGCGATGCATCGATCAGAAAACGACTCCTCAACTCCCACGAAGATTCTTTTAACACCTCTAAATTTCTTATTCATAACTACTGATGGAATAATTACGGACGGATTCGGAGCGAACCGGGCGAACCACGAGGGACCTGCACCCTCGGGGTCGGCTGCTCCTCGGCCGGCTGTTTGGCCGAGCCCTGTGCTCGGCCAAGTGAAGGAGTTCTTGCGTGGAGCGAGTCGTGCGGCGACGGTTGCGGTCCAAACAGCTCCTCCCGTGTCCTCCGAGGTTGTTGGGACAACATGGAGTATAAAAGCACGCCTCAGTGTCCTAATCAAGCATCTCATGTCCTAATTACACACTTGTCTCGTTATTACACGTTCTATACCTTTGTAATAGAATTTTTCATACGATTAATACAATATCAGTCCCCGTGACTATATTCGTACCAATATTTACACCCCTATTATCGTTTAATCCTAATACTTGTTACGTTTATTCTTTTATTCGGGTTAATTAATCAAGATTTCAGGTTAATTAATTCCATCAATAACTATATTTTGAAATTTATTCCTTTTTTTTTTTTTAATGTGAATTAAGTATATAATTTAAGGTGATATAGTGCAATAGGAACATCTTTATTCTTTTATATTTACTACTCGCAAATAATCATTCCCTAATGTGGCAATTGCATATTGCAGCAGTTGTTGTGTTGAAATTTTACAAATTTCTATTCACTCGAGAGTTTTGACTGTGAAATATGATTGTACTATTAGCTCTGTTACAACGTATATCTGTCCATACATACTTTCTCAATAGGTTGAAAAAGTAATTATGAACAGATACTACATTGTAATAGAGTCAGTAGTATTCAAAAAAAAAAAAAAAAAAAAAAAAAAAACTAAGCAATAAAAACATATTACATTAATCAATCAAATTTGCCCCATTGAAAATACATATAAGATGACTATCTGAACTCATTTTTCCAATCTTCTCTAAAACTAGCAAGTATTGTTTTACCAAATAATGCTTAAATTGAAAAAGTGAGTTAACCATTCACAAGCAAAATAGCTGGAGTAGCTCAGTTGGTTAGAGCGTGTGGCTGTTAACCACAAGGTCGAAGGTTCAAGCCCTTCCTCTAGCGTCTTTTTGCTATGCTCACATTAGCGTTGTCTCCGTTGAGCTGTTGGGGGCAGCTTATCTGAAGGGCCGCATGGGAGCTTTTGCCCCGTCTCTCGTTCAATTCTATTCTTCAACTCTCTCAGTATTCGCACCTGGCTGAGCTTCTCGGGGGACAGCTTCTCCCAATAAATCCCTGTTTCAAGTAACGCAGAGGCAAGTGTGAGTTAAAATGGATGGTGTAAAGTGTAAATCCCGAAGCAATAATATCTTAAGGCGAAGGGTGCATATGCATGGCGTTCTGTCCACTACACTAACCCTGAGGCTTTGGGATCGTTGTGTTTGTAAAGATGACTTGTGTTGGCGTGCATATGATGTCAACTGGCACGTCGTGGATCAATAGCTTCTCAACAGGAATATCGTCTACCAATTGTTGGTCGTGTACTGCAAAAACACAATTTGCAAAAACACGACTGTCAGAATTCCCAGAATTCCCATCCCGAATGTAACAACAACAGCATATATAGTAGCGTTAACTCGATCTGCAGATTAGAATAGCTGTGAGGTATGAATACAAAGGCTCACACTAGTTGATTGCTCAAAGAAATGCCAGTTATATAGTAGAAATCATTGCCTCAATCAAGCTATAACTACAAGTTAGTATCTTTTTACGTTTTCTGGGTAACGAGGAAAACTCACAGTCACTACCCGACAGTGTGCACTAGGTAAATCCCGCCTTGTGATCCTAGCTGGCAGAGGACCACAAGTAGGTAAGCCAGCTTAGGTTGCCCATAGCTGACCGCCTCAAATCAAGAATGTAAAGTTAGAATCTTTAACTATACTAGTAGTTGATCTTTAATTTATTTACCAGATGTGACAATAGGAGTCGAGTCATCAATTGCACCCATGTATCGCAGCATGCCATATTCAAGCTCAGCAAACCCCTTAAATAGTAAACGGAAGTTCTGAGAATGTAATCCACAATACCCCCTTCCCCTCCCCAGTCCCCACCATAGAAAGCGGGGAATGACAGCATGAGAAGATAGAAACCGGGAAAGAATAAACAAGTCATTACTTGCAAAACGATCAATAAACAAAGGCGAACAAAGTAAAAAAGCCCATACCTCTCCCTTGCCAAGCCGAGCGCCTGTCCTTGGGTCCACAGCAACTGAACCGATAACAATTAAATCCACTCTTATCTTCTCGTCAAGTCCAATTGGCCTTCCATATTTAGCTACCCCCGCAGAGGTACAAGCCTCTTTAATAGTACCGGGACTTAACATATGAGATTCGAGTACAGAGAAAAACCCTGTCCTAAGACGAGGCTGTGGAGTTAATAGCGTTTTTCCTCCTGCATATGCAAAAGGCATATAAATTCTAAGTACACTTCTACTCTTAATTATAAAGAATAGAGTTGCAGAGATATGCATGTTCCACTTATTGTCATAATTGCGTTCTTCCTTATTCCCCAATACACATTGACTCCCAGCCAGAAACCATTTTACAGACACAAATATCGCCCAAATGATGACTCCCCAACTAGAAGCCATTTTTGCTATCTCGGTTCTCAACTCTCAATAACCTTCAATGCATAAGCAGAACTCAAACTGTCAATATTTCCTAAGGGTTCAAAAGTCACTTAGAGCACCAATAATCTAGCAGAACTGAAATGTGGCAAAAACAGAAGAAAAAGGAAGCCATAGTAAATAAACTACCTTCATGGCTTCATCACTAGCGAGTTCTAAGCTGATAACTAAAGTTGTAGGGCTAAAAGTGGGTCTCCGGGTCCACTTGACTAATCCTGACCGCTCCGGGAGGCATCGAAGCTGGTCTAAAGAAATTGTCACTTGTGGAAATCGAACTTGAATTATCCCTAAGATCGTTCCCACAAAGAAGCTCCTTTGCCACTTGAGCTACCCTTTGGGTTAACTCCATAAATTATCTAAATAATCTTAAGTTTATAATATAGGAAGCAAAATCAGGAAAAGGATAATCTGAAAATAAAAGAACTGACCATTAAGTGTGAGAAACCTCACTTGTTTTTGTGGAGTATCAGGATTCACCTTCACACAATTGGCTGCTTTGAACGCATCTAATTCACTGAGCTGCCAAAACATTCTTAAAACTCCTAAATGAAATCAACTGAAATTCATAAAAAAAGATTCATAAATCTTGAAGAAGATAAGAAAAAGATGGAGTCTTTGAACCTTATCGGCGGCAAGAGAGGCGCCAACGAAGTTTGGTATTCGATGGTGAACGGGCCTGGGAAATTGGGCAATATTCTGAGCCTCCATCAAGTCCCATATCCGTTTCCGGATCACCCATTTCCACGCCTTCGGGTCGTTCTCGTTTTGGGTTTCTCTCTCGGAGGCCTCGGCCATGGCGTCTCGCGCCACCGCGTCGAGCCTGAGCCTTTCTGCCTCGTACGCCGCCTCGTCAAACGCCGCGCCCTTCCCGCCGCCGCCGCCGCTCCTTTTACTGCTACCCTCCACCTTGAAGGAGAAACGGGAGGTTCTATAGAGAGAAACGAATGCTTGGGGTTTGGAGAAAATGAAGTTTTTGGGTCTAAATTGAAATGAAGAGGAAAGACGCAGTACGTGTGTATCCATGAAAGTGGTAAAGCTTTGAGCTTTAGCTGTCAGATGAAGAACAGATGGCAGTGTTTGGATATTGAAAATTTATGTTATCTCTTTATTATTATTATTATTTTTTTAGTACTATTGACATGTTATAACAATGTCCAAAATAAGTGTCGAAGAGGTGAAAACATGATTCTCGTATAAAAAAAAAATTACTATTTTCTTATATTTCAATTGCACTATCTAAAGATGACCTTAACCAGTTATCAGTAAAAGAGTAAATAAGTTTAGATTGCATATCCAGTAAAGAAGTAAATAGTATAGATCACACATAACTGATCAGCTCAAATTAAGATGGTCAATAGACCGCTAAAACTCATAATCCAACTTAGAACCTCCACCTTCATTGAGGTTGTCCCAAGTCATCCTTATTAATACCATGACTATAACATTGTACAATAGCACAAAGAGTAATGGTTCACTTAAACCTTAATACATGTTCATTACAAAATAATACCCAAAAAAAATGTTGTCTTGAAGAGGTAATATGAAAAGAGGCAAACAAAATGTTCTGAATTACACTGAAAAATACACTGGAAGGTTGTTTATTGAGAGATAGAGAGAGACAATAATTTATGATGATGGCCTATAAAGTTTATGTTCCTTTTGGGACTACACATACCCCTTTTGCAGAAACCCACAAATCCCAGACTGTATCTAAAGAATGAATAAAAAGCTTTCCATAAACCAAAAAAAAAAAAAAAACAAAACCAAAGATTGAATGTGTCCTGTACACAACACCACCAGAGCCCTCTTTCCCTCTTCTTCTTCAACAATCAAACACCTATTATGTATGCTTTGATCTTCTCCATGGCGGCTCCTCGGCTAGGCTCTGTTCCAAACAATCTTTCCACACTCACTCGAGCCGTCTAAGGCGTCATTTACTCGCAATCCAACCCGCATACTTCTAGCACGAGCCCGTCTCTCGAGACGAAGGGGTTGATTCGGACCCATAGGAGCGAGAAGATGGAGGCGAGGAGAATGGACCACACTACTATAATGGTCGGAACCCCGTTTTGCTTCCCCATCATACCTTTGAGGAAAGGGTAGAGATGGACAATGACCCATAAGGCGAAGAAAAGCCTCCCGAATAGCGGGCCCCAGGAATCGTACCCGTTGTTGATGGCGTCCGAGATGCCAACTATGACACCAATGATGTTGATGATGAGAAGGGTCATGGGAGGGATCAAGAGAGACGTCCACTTGAAGATGTAAAGCTCGGAGAATTCCCCGTCATCCGCTGCTTTGGACGTGACCGTGAAGTTCGTGTTCACACCAGCTAAGACCTTGAGGAGACCTTGCCATAACGCGAAAAAGTGGGATGAGGCACCCCCGATCACCCAGAACTGCTCGTTCCTCCACCAGTCGTCTATGCTAACGCCTCCCCACTGCATCTCCATGATGCTCGTGGCCGCAATGGATATGAAGAGAGACATGAAAAGAATGCTCGCGTAGTTACTGATCTGCACGAGAAACGAAATAGTTAAAGAATTACGTCTACCAAAGTCGAAAGCTGCAATAAGTTCATCTTTCTTGATTCTTGATTCTTGAATTCTTGATTCTTGATTCTTGAATTCTTGATTCTTGAATTCTTGATTCTTGATTCTTGATACCCGAGCATAAAAGATCAAACAAAAAGGAAGCGTCTTTTATCGATATGATCATTTTTTCTTACCTCGGGGACGATGAACTTTCCGGTGAGTAGGCAGACAGCGGGCAATGTACAATATACAATCAGAGGAACGGAGGTCAATGGATAAACGACGGAGTTTATATAGGAAAACCGCTCCAGAGGCTTCAGACCGCACCCATATCCATACCAAATTGGGCAATGTCTGCTCAACAAAATCTCGACAGATCCCAAGGCCCATCGAAGAACTTGGTGCAAACGATCTGAAAGATTAATGGGAGCTGACCCCTTGAAAGCGGGCCGTTTGGGCATGCAGTACACGGATCTCCAGCCATGGCAGTGCATTTTAAAGCCGGTTAAGATATCCTCAGTAACCGATCCATAAATCCATCCGACCTGTACGGTTTAAGACATGTAAGCATTATCTATGTTCCACTCGGAACTGGAAGTCTAACTCAACTCAAGCAGTTTTTATACGCACCTCTTTGCCCCATTCCGTTTTGTCCTCGTAGCCACAACTGATGACGTGAATGGCTTCTTTTAGAAGGGAGGCCGATGTTGTTCCCGGGGGAATACCACCGTCCTCTAGAAGCGTTGAAGCGACAAAAACCGGTGATTGGCCGAATTTCTTCTCGAGTTTTATTTGGGGCATGAGTGATGCTTTTTCGCTTTCGATTCCTGCAAAAACATAATCAAATTAGCATTTATCAAGAAAGAGAGCAAGGTAAACAAAATGTTGTTTTTTTTTTGTTTGTTTACCTTCGATTCCTTCCTCGATATTTTCCAGAGCATGAATCTGCGGTGAAGAATCCTTGGTTTTAGTCTTCTTTTTGTCCTTGGATTTTGCTTTCTTATTCTTTCGAGATCGACAACAACAACAAAACAGTTTCGACCAACAATTGCACGTTTTGCCTGGACGTTTCTTCTTCTTCGGGGCATCATATCCATAAAGAGCTTGCCTCCTGAAGACACAACCAGTTCCGACGTATATCGGGCCTTGAATCCCGTCAAGTCCTTTCATATTTATCTGTGAACACCAAACCGGGAAATGTTTTTCAGAACTGGATATACATATATTGCAGTGTTATAAGAACATAATTCGCTCGAGTTTCCACTCACATCAAAGAAGACAACGTTACGATTCGAGTATCGATCGTGCCGATCAATACCGTCAAATCGTTGTGGAAACTGCACGTAGCATATCTTTTTCCCGGACTGGGGGTCCATCATAAAGCACATAGCTTCTCGGAGTGCCTTGCTGTTATTGATGTAGTGATCACAATCCACATTGAGTAGAAAAGGAGCGTTCGAGATGACAGCTGAAACCCGCACCTAATATCGTATTTATAGAGACAATCAATTTCGATTTCCGGCCAAAAGAATGATTGTCTAGTGCTAAAATTCACATAGAAAACGAGAAAACTTACCAGTGAATTCATGGCACCGGCCTTTTTGTGGTGCTCGAAACCGGGCCTCTTCTCACGAGAAACGTAAATAAGACGAGGCAATTCATTGCCCTCGATGTCCCGGACACCATCATGGCCCAAGAAAACCTATCGGTGACAAATTTTGAAACGAAAAACAAAATCAATTTTATGATCTTAAATTAAGAAAATTCTCGGGCGTGCAGTTCTACAAAAAAAAATAAAATAAAATAAAGACCTGAATCATTCCGGGATGATCCCGGACGTTGTTCCCGGGCCAAGGAGTACCATCCTGCATGGTCCACCCGTCTTCGGGTACCTTCTGTGCCATGGCAACTAACCCGTTGATACGAACTTTAAACTCTTCATACTCTCTCTGTACCAAAATTAAAGCAATAAAAACATCAATCAGAAAACATGATTGAATTCACTACAGAATAAATCCTAGATTACAAGAACATATTTAGTACTTCCTTTAATAGGTTTCGAAAGGCAAAAGAAACTATCAAACCTTAATTGCACGACGTTCCCTGACAAAAGCAGGATCCACTTTGTTCCTCAGATAATCCATCTTCTGAGAAAAATACCACTCTGGGGCCCGAGGCTCTATGTTGAATCTTTTGCAAAACGGAACCCATTTCCTCGCAAATTCAGATGTCTCGGATAGGGCCTCGAAAGTAAGCATGGCAGCACCATCGTCCGAGACATAGCACGACACCTTGTCGACTGGATAATCAACGGCTAGGATGGAGAGGACAGTATTTGCAGTAATAAGCGGAGGTTCTTTCATGGGGTCCACCGTACTCACAAATACATCTATAGGGGCTAATTCCGATGGCTTCCCTTCTTTGTCATACCTGCGGGAAAATTTTTACAAGAAACATTAGGGTATAGGTATAGGAGCGGGGAAGAGTGTAAAATAATAAAAATGTGTATACCTTAGTGACAGCCTATCTAGGTATGTTTCTCGAACAATCGGGAACCATTTCGGGAACTGATCAAATATCCACGATACAGCAAACCATATCTCGCAGATAATAGACGTCAGCCACAACCCAAACGCATCATTGACAGGGTGGCGGATTCTATAATGGAAAAAGAGCCCAAGAATCACCAGACGGAGTAAAATGATTAATCTGTATGGACTTAGTTTGCTCGATGGGATTGATAACTTTCTTGAAAGTGGCTGTCTGCCTTCATCCATCCTGCAAGAGAGAAAATAACGATAAGCCCCCAACTCTCAAAGAAATGCAGGATCTTCAGGGCGAAGGAGAAAGATACTCGTTAGATTCAATCAGGCACGAAAGATACCTAGCTAGCCAAGAAAACTTCCCAAGATAATTAATTATGTCAAGCTCAAAACCGAACCATTTACCAGTGCACTAGTAAATAATGATCTACAAAACACGACAAAAGACCCAAACTTTTTTGTGCTGTAGTAGTGTTTCAAAGTTTACTCGATGCAAAAGTTTTGTTACCTTAAAAACATGTAATCCCATGATGTTGATTATCATTTGACAGGCAAAAGCTAATAAATTGATATTAGTTAGCAGTTAAAGATGGAGAAATTATTATGAAATGCAGCAACTACAAGTCATCTCATATACTCTACAAATTGCTAAATTAAAGGTCAAGTTATCAGCTTTATAATACTCGAGAGAAAAATAAGAATTAATGAACCTACTTAGGCAAATCCGGATCATCCAGCTCATCGCCGCCTTTATCACCTTCATGCTTAACAACCTGTAGTTTATCGCTTTGCTTTTTCTTCCACTCCTCCATTCTTTCTTTCCATGCAACGGTGCCATATCCATAGACAGCGAGGTCTTTCTTTGGATCCATAGGCCGAGGCGGCAATGCTACACCAAAAGTAATAATCAGATCAGGTCTCGTACTCTCGTCTCATTCAAAGAAATAACATTCATCAAAACCGAAATTACTTACATGTCACAGATGCCGTATCAGAAAATGGTGCGGGGTGAACTTTCTTTCCACGGCTCATAAACGGGGGAATGATAAGAGCGTGCTTGTCCGCTGAAATTCCATCATCCTATACAAGAATGGCTTAGTCAAAAGCTGCAAATTGACTAATTTAGGGGATAAAGTAACAAAAGAGACGAAATGTGAGTGAATCTACCTCTTCACCGTAGGTAAGTAGAGGGACTTTTGAGTCAACACCAGATGGATCCACCTCCGATGGGGTAGTCCCGGAGCCATTGACACCAAGCCCGCCATTAAAGCGAGCAGCAAGTGCCGCCTCGGTCATGTGTTCAGGGTAATCAAATTCATGGTCTAAATCATCAAATTCTTCCTCTTCTTCATCTCCTTCGACTCTGGGACTCCCTGAAATCGAGCAAAGTTTTCTATTCCATTATTCCTTTGTTCACTTCACAATTCACATATTGCTTGGCTCAAATCAAGAAACAGATAAGGTTAATAGAGGAATTACCTTTTATGCGTTTGTACCGAGTTTTGCATTGAGGACAAGCTTGATTCCCTTCCCTCCTTTCATATTCATAGCAGGGTCTACAAACTGGGAATGCACATTCATTGCAAGCAACAAATGGCTCTCCATCTACCGTAATCTCGACCTCATCTCCACAAATCTGGCAAATCTGCCCACTTAACTCCTTTACAGAAGTGACCTATTTATCAAACCCAAGAACATTCACATCAGATCAAGAAATCCCAAGATTTGAGCAGAGGAATGTAGAATTAGGTAATTAACCTTAACCCCCTCAATCAAATCCAAATCCCAACCAACATTTAACAAATTGGGTAAGAAATGCAAGCAAGACTTTACTTTCTCCAATAACCAATGAATGTCTTAAGTGAGCTAAAAGAAACCAGTTTTTGGCAAGTCAGTTCCATAAATCTAGATATTGTACTAACCAAGTAAGGGTAAAAGTAAACGCAAGAGATAAGGAAAATCTGAAAGAAAACAACTCAATTAAGCAATATAGGATTTGGATTACAAAAATCAGCTTCCTATCTTAGAATCTAGCACTAAGCTTCAAATTCTTCAGTAAAAGTCAAATCTTTACCAGAAAAAACTCAAAATGCTCAAAGAGGGCACTTGAAAAAACAAAAATGTGGCCAAAGTTTATAGCACCGACACAAAAAAACCACATGAAAACTCAGGTTTAGACCACAAAAACCACAAATCTCTCCATGAAAACCTCTCTGAGCTCCAAAATGAGCTTTAAAAAAAATTTTAAAAATTAAAAAAGGAAGAAAGAAAGAAAGATGCCATTTTGAAGGGGCACTCACCCTTCCAATCTCATCAGCATTGATGAGCACAAACTCATTCCTATTATGCGAACCAGCAATCAGCCTCCCTTTGGTGTCCATTAAACCTACTTCTCTCCTCCTCCTCCTCTCTCTCTCTCTCAAATTCACACACAGAGACTCACAGTGGTGACTGAGCAGAGCCCATTACACAGAACAATCATGAAAAGCACACACAGGCAAAGCCTATTCTCTTTCTTCAACTCTCAGTTCATGCTAGTGTGGTGCTCTTAAAAACAAGACTGGCTGAAAATGATGTACAAACGCACAAATACAGACACAGTATTAATATTGGCAAATAAATTAGGTGTATATTTATAAATGTATATACTTTATATAATTATTATATTTATTATACAACTAATGGTTTGCTAGTAGGGGGTGGGGGGAGAAGGGAAGGGGGGTGGATTCTTTTCTTGAGAGAAACCCAGTTTAGGGATAATGGGTTTCTCCCCTTTGAGCTGTGGGTGGCGTGGAATCAGAGAATCAACACCACAGGCGCGGACAAATATAGAGAGAGAGAGAGAGGGTAAAAGACTATAAAAGAGCGAGCTTTAGTGAGAGAAAATGTGTGGAGATAGAGAGAGAGTGGAAAGTTCAACGCGTAATGCACAAGGGACAGAAGAGATCGGATGCGTAGATGGATCTCTGATTGATGAATGGAGGGGTTGGACGTGGGGGCCCCACCCCACGGTGGTGACGGTGGCGGAGGAGTAACGGGCCCCCACCTCTGGCACGGCGGCTCTCCAACTGCCGCGAGGGATAAATCCGGGATTTCACACCATTTTTGTATTTTTTTTTCCTTTTCTTTTCTTCTCTTTATTTAGGGGTCGTTTGGTTCACGGAATGTCAGATTACCTTAGGGAATGTTAGATTGCTGGGAATGTTAGATTACCGGGAATGTTAGATTCCTGTGTTTGGTTAAAATTGGGTATGTAATATAATCATGTTTGGTTTAGGGTTATATTTATTCACACACTATAATATCCTTAACATATTTTTCATATATTTTAATAAATTTAAAAATTAAAATAAATAAATAAATAAATAAGATAATGGTATCATATATAATTACATGATTTTAAAATATTAACTAAAATATTGAACTTGAGAAACAAAATTATTTTATATGCTAACCTAACATAATAAAAATAAAAAATATATAATTACAAAAATAATTATATGTGTGTGTGTGTGTGAGAGAGAGAGAGAGAGAGAGATAAACTAATATAACCAAGGTTATCTTACATAACCTTAGAAATTGAAGGGAATCACATTCCCTTCAAAATCCTATGTGAAGGGAATGTGACATTCCTGGAGAATGTTAGATTCCCTGAGATAATGTGAACCAAACATAGGAATGTAAGCTTTGAAATGTCACATTCCCTTGGTTATGTTATATAACCTGAACCAAACGCCCCCTTAATGCTTTTAGTTGATATTCTTATGATGATGGTGAAGTTTATCTTTGCTTTCTGTAATTTATTTATGGCTGTCTCTCACGGTTTAACTGTGCTGGCTTCATTGTCAAATGAGAGAGAAAGGTCATAATAAAGTTACATATATACATACATACATATTTATATACACAATTTCAGAAAAATCATACTTAAAACATAGACACAAAAATTTAGTATAATCCATTTCCCAACAAAAAAAACCTAGTATAATCAACGGTGTATTGAACAAATTATGAGATTTTGACAGTCGCACTGTCTATTAAGATTGGATTAATGAGCATTAATCAAGGATTTCATCATTTAAGGTGAAAGTTACATAAAGTAATTACTTTTTTACTGCTATGTTTATTTACTGTTACTACATTTTGTACCACATGACTTCATCTCATATAGTGTACAATTGGAAGTTAAAAACTAGATGAATCCAGTTAACCGCTCAACTCTTATCTTGACTACTTTAACCACTCAAATTTTATGTCTCATAAAAAATTTGACTCGTACTAAAATATTTGTTTCACGAATAATTAATTAATTTGAAAAACTATTAGAACGTCATAAAAACACAGGTGTGTTTAACGTAATACAGATATAAATAATAAATATGTAGTATAATTATCAATTTAGATTTTTAATTAAGACATATCGGACCGATAAAATTTGTCATTGTGATTTGAAAGGTGGTGTAAAAATGGAAATGGAAGTTACTATTTGTCACCATTAAGTTGGTAAAGTGTAGAGGGGAGACAAAAGTACACAAGGCATAGTGCAAAAGTGGAGAAAGCACAACAATCCAATTTAGTCTAACCTTTTCTCACTTTCATGTGGAATGTAACTCAAAAGCATAGCACAATCACTCTTATTTCTTACCCCCTCCATACCTAAGTAACCCATACTAATATTGTAATCCGTGACATGTTTCAAAAATACTAAATTTATTAATTATAAGAATTAGTACTTTTAGTGCATGTCATAAATTTACCTATTCTGATTAAATACTTGAAGAAAGAAAATAAGCAAAAGACGTAAATCAATGATGCGATACACCAACACAATCTGCTGTTAAGAGAGGACAAATACTCACTGAAAAAGATATCCAGAACGTGAATGCCCAAGTTCATAAAATTTGCTTTCGACACAGTTTTTACTCTATGGTTGAAATGTGGCATTATAGAAATTCAATTGGATAAAGCTGAAGTATTAACTACTCAAATATTGTATTAATTATATATTAAAAATGAATATATATAATGGTAGTAGGTAATTAACAAGTTTACTTGGCCTAATTTGAAATTAAACTTGTAATTCTTAATAATTTATATATGGTTAGTTAAGTATATATTGTCATGACTTGAGCACTTCCTATGGGAAGAAAGATCACAAAGAATATTATAGTCAACTTTCTCACTCATATTATAATTATATTAACCTACTTGCCAACTAAGAATTGCAATATATATTGACTTCCTTATTTTATTTTTATTTTTTTTAAAAAAATAGTGTATTAGCAAAATTGGAGTGTAATTGTTAGTTATACCAATCAAGCTAATTTATAATTATTAATTTAATTTAAAAATTTATTGTTATAATTGTTTTCCAACAAGTTTTTAGCTAGGGTTAAAATTTTTAAATCCTAATTAAGGTTCCAATCAGAATATAGTAATCAATTTAACTCGAATTGAATCGTAAAAAGAAATCCTTACTCCATATATCGACTAAAGTATTGTTATGCAAGCAACATAGTAGATATTCTCATGTTCCCGTTAAGTTTATACATTTCTACAAAAGGGATTAAACTAATCTTTACACGTAAATTACACTTACTAAAAGAAAATAGGTAACGAATAAAAATAAAACAAGACTTTTTTCATCGATATCCGAGTAAAATTAAGCACACCAACCGTATAACAACAAATCAGAGAACACTAATCATCTCCACGTAATTCTCAATGCCAAAACAAAACATACAACATATGGTACGCAGTCATATTTACAATGAAGAGATCAACAAAATGTTTCCATATTAATATATAGTCATTTTCTTCTTCCTCGTGCACTAGGTCGGTCCAACATATCCATCAAAAAAAAAAATAGATAGATAGATAGATAGCACAAAATATAATGCAGAAATGAAGGGAAAAAGATTGTTGTAAATACGAAAGGGAAGGTACATAGTATGAAGAGAGTATTTTCTTCCGAGACTGTCTATTAACTTTTTTAATTTGTACGAATTAGATATGAATAATTTAAGCTGATTTATCCCTTTGTTATATTTTATTGGTTAAAATCACAATGTGATCTTTATTTGAAACATATATTTTAAATAAGAGTTAAATTCACCCGAGGTTTATTGTCTTTAGTGACAATTTTAAATTTAGTCTCAAACCATCGTTTTTGACATTTAACATCCTAGATTATTATTTTTGAACACTTTTAGTCATTTTCATGACTTTTTCTATTTTTAGTAAGAGCATTTTTGTCTTTTCATATTTTTCTGGTTTCAACCGGATTAATTGGTTTAAAACTTTGCGTACCCCTGATTTTTAGTAACTATATTTTTTAACTTATTTTTAGTAAAGTCCTAAATAAATTAAACCGGTTAAAACTGAAAAATAACAAAAGAAAAATATGAAGAGACAGAAATGCTCTTACAAAAAATAAGAAAAGTCATAAAAATGATTAAAAGTGTTCAAAAAATAATAGTCTCGAATATTAAATAGCAAAAATAATAGTGTAGGACTAAATTTGAAATTTGTACTATAAACAATGGACTTATGGTGGAATTAATTCTTTAAAATAATGATGATAAAAAATTTTCGTAAATTAAAGGACGATGAAATTAGCTAAATGATGTATAATATATACCTTCAATCATTAATTTCCTCATTCTACCGTATAAAACAACGTTGGGACCTCGACCTCAAAAATGGGATTCTTTCATGTCATTAAAAGCTGATAGTGACATATGGGGCTTACAATCTGTTTCCATAATTATTCACATTTTTCCTTAATTGATTTCCTTATCTCCTTCACCGACACTTTAAAACCACAATTATCCATCACAAGATTAAAAGTAAAAAAGTTAAAAATTAATAAAATTAAAGTGCATGCACGAGTTAGTCGAGCTGCACTACCATGTATACCTCTTACGTAAATAACGTGTTGCAAATATTACTACAGAATGAGTCATATGTATTTGTTGTAGAGACTAATTTACGTGATATAGATACAGTAAATACAAACTGTGATTTTTTATTTTTTATTTTGGAACAAAACGAGTCTATCACACTGGTAGGAAAATGAAATTAGAATAAAAAGTGTCATATATTTTTAAATGATGAGAAAGAAAATAATCAACAATCATTATTTGTGGGCGTTCACAAATAAATCAGTTGTTTAAATGTCAAAACACATTTACATAGTTGTTATACTGTTATTCAACAATTAGATGATTAATTAATACCTTTATTTGTGGTATTGTGACATCAAAGAGTGGTGCACCGACAGGACGGTCCATATATCTTTTGCTTTTTTCTTAAACTAGGAAATTATTGGTTCAAGAATATACGTCGACAAAGATTATCGCTTCTTGTACGTATAAAGTAACATCCATTCATTGAATTATTGTCTTTTTATTTTAATTTTTAAAAAATTCGTCTCGAGGAATTTATAATTAAAACATTTATTAAAAGAAATAAAAAGTGATCTTAGTAGCACATAATATAATCATATATAACGATACAAAGATCATATATGAGTGAAAAGAGTTTAATTTCTTTGTATATATAAATCAAATTTATTTTACGATATATAAAAGAGTAAGATCAATAATATTTGGATCATAATGCACCAAATAATTATAAGTGCTTTGTTTTGGGTGAGTTAAACTTAACAATTAACAATTTCAATGCTAAATCAATCATCTCAATAACTTGTTAACTAAGTAACTAACCCTCTGCCAATAACTTTGTAGTCTTGCAATATGAAGTGACTCATCCTAATCAGAGGTCATGAGTTTGATTTTCAGTGGACAATATTGACTCTTTGTGCTCACTAAGTTAAGAAAGTAGTTATTAACAGATACTACATTGTAATCAGAATTTCAGCTAATCAGATCTCATTTAGAGACAATTATAATCTCGGTAAAACATTACTACATACACATGAATTCGACCTCGATCTTAGCTTTCAAATCTCCCATATATATATGATCTGATCTAATTTTCCTAGGATGCTGTCGTGTTCCTAATTAGCTCTTTTCTCTATGTGTATACAACCATGGCCGCCATGGAGAGAGAAAGCTAAGACATTAAATTTAAGAAGAAAAAAAATAAAGTAAAAGTATATAGAAGAGGGCAGGATATTTGAAGACCAAGCATGTGTACAGAAATGCACCCACATGGCCATGGTCTTTGTAGAAGAAGATTGAGACAGCTACTCTCTCATTAAAAATTTTTGCAAGTGGCCCCCTTTTCTTCAATTTCTCCTTACACACACTTACTTGAATAATAATAATAATGCTTCTTTCCTCCATCTTCTTCTTCACTGCACCAAATTTATATACCTTTTTTTACAGTGAATTGAATGAGAAGATCAGATTTTTATTTTTACAGGAAAACCTCACCGTACCCTTTACTCGAATAGGCGTTCTGTGTGAAATTTACCTTGTTAATTACTCTAGCAGATAAAGAATTACAATGAGGTAAACCAGTATTGAATTAGTTGCCCATAGCTAACCTCAAATCAAGATGACTAATAGACAGTTTTCACCTGAAACGTTGCGGTTATCAAGTCAATTATCTGACGAACTTGACTGGATTATTGTCTTATTAAAATTGAAAAGAGAAGTTTGATTGTTCTTGTGGGTGGATGGGGGTGGGGTGAGGTGAGGTGTCCAGTTTTGGTTTTATGTCTCATTAAATGTGCATGAAATGGGATCTGATCTCAGAATAAGTTTTGTACATGTCAAAACCCTAAATTGAGTGATGCATAAAAATAAAAAATAAAAAAAATAAATATCATTATATATGTACTACTACGTACTGCACATTTTTCCCCATCTGCCAAGTCTGTTGCATCTTGTTGGATCTTAATAGTGTTGAGCAGGGCAGGCAGGCCACTTGCAACATGAATGAGTTGGTTGGTATACCCCCAATAAATGATACATATATGCATCATATATATGTTGTTTCAACATATATATATATTTTTTCATTATCAACTAGGTTAAATAATATATATATTCATACTCTTTCTTATGATATTGCATAATTTTTGTTGCAGTTATATGTACAAATCAGACGATCTTTATAATTTGTCCGACCAGAAAGATTTATTCGATATGTAGTATTGGATGTGAAAATGACTATTACCTCGGGGCACAACTCAATCAATTCAAAATAAGTTTATAAGCTTTGTTTTATTAGCAGTTGTAGGGTGCAGGATTCGAATCTGACTTAAGTAGTAGGTACGATGCATCATATAGTCAAAAATCTAAGTATGTATTATGCATCATATATATAGTTAAAATATCATGTATGGCTAAGGGTAAAAAAAATTGATTGACTAACGAACATGCAATTAGTAATTAATTAGATTGACAAGAATATTGTTTTCGTTTACGTTAAATATTTCATATAATTCAATTAGTTATGCTTTCTTACACCTTTTTTATTACTCCGTATAATTTTTAGGGAAATCAAATTTACCACTAGCTTAACTAATTAAATTAAGTCATACATCAATCAAGTTTAAAAATATTTCCCAACTCACCAACTCATTTACCACTAGCCTATCTTATTGGCTTGTTTACAATAAATGAGCCAAATTGCCCCCCCCCCCCCCCCAACCCCACCCCACCCCCTACCTCAACTCTCTCTCAAATTAAATATAGCCTCAAAAAAATATTATTTTTCTCAATATCCTTTCGATCGAGTCTATTATATAAGATCTTCTTAGTATGATTTACTCCTCATGTGTGCGTGATTTGTAGTCTATTACATAAGAGCGAAATTTAATTTACCCATATACATCTTCTCAAGTACTAACTACGAATTTTCATCGCTACCAAAAAAAAAAATTATTCTAAATTTACTCCTTAATCTTCACTTATTAACGTAATAATTATTATCTTAAAATATGATAAAACAACAAGAGGCAATTTTTTTTTTTATCCCAATCTTAACCAAAGAAGTATACTAGCTTGTTCACAAAATGTCTAAAATAATATATGAGACGATTTACTTATTCAATTATTATCAAGTAAACTAATTAATTTGTGATATTAAATTACAAAATCTATTGGGTTGTTAACATCTCAAATTTGTACATGTAAAAAGTGTATATTAATCTCATTTATCCATCTAGCTAGGTTAATTAAGGGTTTAAAATTTAGAAAAACTGAAAAAAAAAAAAAAAAAAAAAAAAAAAAAAAAAAAAAAACGCAGTAACATTTTTATAATTACGATTGTGTATTTAAAAACACTTAATAGTATATTCAGAGAACTAATAGTGCACACACTTAAGCACATCACTATATATCATAAGTGTATTGTCAGTTATTTATGAATGCACTATTAAACATTTTCAAATGTACCATCGTAATTACTGACACCCTAACCGCACCAGAACCTAATTCTATATATATATATATATATATATATATATATATATATATATATATATTGCAATTGCGTGACACAACAGCATAATGAAGATGAGGTATAGGATGGAGTTAGGTGGGTTGAATTTTGTGAAAAATGATGATAGACAATTTCTGATAATCTTAGTCGGAAGTAATCTCAAAATCGGCATGGGAAAGTGAATATACCATTACGTACACTTTCAACGACACAATGAAAACATGTCCCAACGACCACTTTAGCCCCTTTCGTCTAATTACCAAATTATTACCCAACTAATCTCTCATTATTTACTTAATCAGCTACTCTTATCTAATTTCTTACATGCTACTAAGTACGAACTAATCCATTTCTATATGTCTTGCTCAATTCGTTTAGTAAAAGGGACCACATTATCTAGTAATGCCATTGAAACTAAAACCACATTTTATTTGTTTTGCATGGTACGTATGTGATTGACAACGTAACCATATGGTAATAAATTAAATGAATTCATTGGGTAATAAAAACTAATTAAGTTCCGGCCTATTAGAGATTAGTCGAGTTAAGTTGTGATTCGATTAACTCCGGGATAATTCTTTTAAAAAAAATAAAAAAAATTCTGAAGTGTTTAGCTCATGTGCCCTTCTAGGCCATGAAACCCTATTGACATCGTCTGAATTAAAAAACATATTGAAATTAAAACTCAACAGAGCGGGCTCAGCTCACCTTGACCCTGACTCGTGATGGATCACACTAGCAGCAATAATATAATTAATGTCATATCAATAACCTTATTCTGCTCTTGGTAAACATGTGCGCCATATAAATCTCCCACACCGAAGACATTTATTTGCATTCTTCAAAATAAGTTAATAACAATTACCTTGGACACATCCTCGTCCCCACACACCCATTTCATCATCATGGATGGGACGATGAGAACAATAGTTTTGAAAAAATTTAAAAAAAAATAAAAATCACTGCCACCGCCACCGCCACCAACCCCCAGCTGGCGACACCACATCATCTTCTCGCACCATCTCTGATATTGCCTATCCAATCACAACCCCGATTAATATCCCACAAACAACCCATCACTTTATCTTCATTAAACTTACTTCCTCAAATTATCTGTTCTGGATTGATCAATAATAAAATCATTCCTAAAACTAGACTCCCAACTATTATACTATTATTTTAACTAAAGTATCAAGTTGATATACAAATTCTCAATGCCTAATAATCGTACTCCCATTGTGTGCAACAAACAATAGTTAATGAAACAAAACAGTACTGTTATTCCGATCCAGTAACATATAGTAATAATCGTTATATCATAGAACATGGTCTATATTAAAATTGAACATTTATTCATGATTTACAATCTAATTTGCCGTGCAACTCTACACAACAGAATTACATTACATAACCTAGAAAACAATAAACCAATATCGGGTCTGTGTTCAAGCCGGGTCGGATCAGTTCATGCCGACTGGGTGGGGCCACTTCCACGTTGTATGATGACGTGGGCGGACCGACGAGAGAGATCGATGTTGGGCTGTCGCTTTTGTGAGCTGTCTTCCCAACAACTGCGAACCAGTCCACATTTGCATAGGAAAATAATAAAAATAAAAATAAAATCACAGTAAATATTATTTTATTTTATTTTGAGACGTGGACATTTTTGGTTTTATCTGCTTTTGGTAAATAACCTACGTGGACAATCATTAGATTTAATTTACCATGTTCGACATGAAAGGTTTTCTAGATGAAGCAAAGACAACAAAGTTAAATTTGGGGCTACTTGCAAATTCTCTATTTCTATCTATGCATTTTGACAAAGACATCCCTAAAAAATTCCATCATCATACGTTACGCTATATTAGAAAACTATAACTAATAACGAATGCATAATTATACCTTTTCTGATTTAGTGCGTAACTGCTATTTAAAAATGTTTTCTGAATTCGTAATCCTAATTAACAATACAATCATAAAAATGAGGTAACTAAACTAATTTTAGCATGAAAGAATCACAAAGAGATAAATGTCAAACTTCGTTATACTTATATAGCACGTTTTAAATCTATAGGGGTAACAAGCAAGAAGCTAAATTTAATCTTCCAAACTTCCATCTAACAAGGAATATTTAAAAATAATTAATATCCCATACTTATGGTAGTTGGTATATATCTTCTTTTTTTTTTTTTGGGGGGGGGGGGGGGGGGGGGGGGGGGGAGTGACGAGAACCCACTAGGTAAATTCTGTTTTTGTGCAATATTTTGTAAATCATACATGAGAGGTGAATTATAGTAGGAAAATTCAGTGCGACAAATTTAACTGAAAATTTGTTGGCAAGAATTGAACTCGTGATCTTTTTATACCAAAGTCATGCTGCACCTATTTAGTCACCACTTTCGAGCCACTGCACGTTATAATAATTTTAAAATGACAAATTTGGCTCTCTAATAATCACATCAAGCCAGACAACGAAAGAAATGAAAAAAAAAAGGTTAATTAATTCAAATCACATTGGCTTTTAAGAAAATTATTTATATATAAAAAACAAAACAAAATTGTGTAAATAGCATTAAAATATAATTGATAATCAAAAGAAAATCATCCATAGTCTTGCTATCATTGCGATTCACTATCAAACTATGCAACTGGTGATCAATCTAATCAATATGCAAATCCCACAAATTATAAAATCATGATTTCATAAAATAAAAATGTTTTTTTTTTCCATAATGATAATTATTATAAGAGTTAAATTATTGAGAAAACAACGAACAGGATGTGAAGGTTATCACATTTTCAATAAACAAAATGAGACAACATAGATATTATCTTGCTAAGAGCTCAATCATGCATATCAAGAGATGAGTTGAGAGTCCATAAGTATTCATCGATTTCTTTGCAATCGGTCTTTTCGAGAGATAAATTGAAGAGTGTTACACACCAGTTGATACTAAATAGCACCAATAATTAATTTGTTCGGGATCAATTACATATATTTTTCTTGATATATTTATCATTTTATATATCAACATTTATTAAACTGCGACAATGCAAACAATATAACAAAATTGACTAGAAAGATTGCTAAGACACAAGCTTTGAACAAAAGTTGGGAATGAAATCCACAACTTTTTTGTGCAATTGGAATTTAAAATTATTTTATTTTATATTATTTTTGTTGAAAAATAATGATGGGCAATTTTTTGGTGTTACACCTTTTACGGGAAAACATATTTATTCGTGGAATCTGCCGACACCTAATCTCACTCCATGTGTTAAAAATGTGGCATTATATTCCAAATTTCCAATCAACATTCAAATAATATTTTATCTTCTTATCATTTACATTTTCTGAATCACGTATAAAATTTGATATCATTATTTAAGAGTGTAAATGATGAGATAAATCATATTAGAAAAATTATGTGCGACGAATTTGATCAAAAGAATATTAATAATAATTAAATTTTTGATTTTGTCGTACGAAAATCATACTTTACTTACTTGACTATCCATTTCGAGACATTTTTATTTTATATTTTAATGATAAATACATGTATATATAGACAGTACATTATTGACTATTGTGTTGTGCATTTGTATTGGGCACCGACAGTGGACTAGGTCACCTGTTAGGTAGGGTCTCAACCTCAAAGCCAACCCATTTCTCTAATTTCATTAATTTCCATTTCCATTTTTATATTAATCTTTCATAAATTTTTGTATTAATACCATAGCCTATCACTGTCATGCTATGCTACGGATCGTTTATTGTTATGTACGATACGACATATATGATGGAGTCATTTAGGGAATAACGGGTCGAGTTATTTAATTCTATTGATTTTTTGAAAAGCATTATTTATTTTATATATATATATATATATATATATATATATATATATATATATATATATATATATTCTTTAAATGTTCAACCCTAACACATATGTAATATAAATTGTCTTTGCATTGAAACTTTTATTTATTTGTTTTTAATTTTTTAACAAAATCTAAGTCCTAATAATGATTTAAACGGCATTCATACCTTGCACTTTGTAAGGAAATTTAGGTTAGAATTTTTGCACTTGATCGGATTGCTAAGGTGCTAACAGTAAATGATTAGTGAGTAGTGAAAGGGATAAGAGGATTGCAAATATGTTGCAATGTATATATTGGTTAGTTTTGATTGACACTGGAAGTAATTTCAACCAAATTGGTCGAGTAATTGGCAAGTCAGAATTGCATATCGGTATTCTCATTTTGGACCGACCAACTACCTCCTTTATAATTCTTTGCCAAATAGGACAACAAGACAATCACAAGGTTTGATGCACCCAAAAAAGTTAATATAAATATAAAAAAAATGTTATTGTAATTTTTAAAAATCAAAGTTTTTTTCGACTTTGTAAAGAATAACAAAAAGAATTGTATATATATATATATATATATATATATATATATATATATATATATATATATTCTTTAAATGTTCAACCCTAACACATATGTAATATAAATTGTCTTTGCATTGAAACTTTTATTTATTTGTTTTTAATTTTTTAACAAAATCTAAGTCCTAATAATGATTTAAACGGCATTCATACCTTGCACTTTGTAAGGAAATTTAGGTTAGAATTTTTGCACTTGATCGGATTGCTAAGGTGCTAACAGTAAATGATTAGTGAGTAGTGAAAGGGATAAGAGGATTGCAAATATGTTGCAATGTATATATTGGTTAGTTTTGATTGACACTGGAAGTAATTTCAACCAAATTGGTCGAGTAATTGGCAAGTCAGAATTGCATATCGGTATTCTCATTTTGGACCGACCAACTACCTCCTTTATAATTCTTTGCCAAATAGGACAACAAGACAATCACAAGGTTTGATGCACCCAAAAAAGTTAATATAAATATAAAAAAAATGTTATTGTAATTTTTAAAAATCAAAGTTTTTTTCGACTTTGTAAAGAATAACAAAAAGAATTGTACAGTGTGGCTGCTGGGATTCGAGCCCAGGTCTCCACGGCCACAACGTGGAATTCTTACCACTAAACTACAGCCACTGTTGAGTTCTTGATCTCTTTGTTTTCATTAATCTTAATCTCTGCTTGTAATACAGATTAGGAAGACTAACCCCCACGTGCATATGCATGTGAGATGATGACAGTAACAAAATATAATAATGGTAATTGTAATAGTATAATGAATAAAATAAGGTAATTAGAAGCTGGAGAATGTAAAGGCTGGCGTCTCACTCCATTTCATGCAATAATGCATGCCTATTTTTGACTTTCTGCGACTTTGAGGAAACTCATAATCATAATCATCATCATGATGCATGCATGAATGTTATATGTTTTTAGTAATATTGTTAAAACAATGCATATACAATAAAATAATGAATCTAGGTTATGTGTGTATCTCTCGATGTTTTCCTTTTCATCATTTTATAATACGATGATGTAAGAGTAAGTTAATTTGTTAGCTCGATCTTGGGGAAGAAGTGTATGAGGGAATGTAAAATTATATATATATATATATATATATACAAACTTATCATTTGTAAGAGAAAAATGTAAACTTTTGTTTGTACTGTATAATAATTACATTCAACCCTTTTAAATTTGACAGCAATTTCATACAAAATTTAAAAGTTCATCACTTGCGTTATCAAAAGTTTCTATTTAATTTTTAAAAAGTTGGCATGATTCTGTTTGGAACTGATCTAGTATCTCTGAGTTAACTATCCAAAAAGTTAAGCATTAGGTCAAATCTCAACTAGAGTTATATTTAGATCGAATAGAGAATCAAAACTCATACGCCCGTCCAACAACTTAGAGCAATTGATAAGTAGGTTGTTAACACAATTGTATAGTAAGAATTCGGAAATAGAATTGTGTAACAAAAATTAAAAAGAAATTATAGAGAAAGAATTGAAGAGAGCAATTAAGAGAAATTATAATTAGAAATGAAGTGATATGATGCCTCTTGGCCCAAGAGAAGTGGTTGTGCTCACTGCTCACTAAAACATGCACATTCTACAATTCATTGTTGTCCTCTAATGCAACATTGGGGCCTTCCATTCACATGCCTTCCATTTATTATTATTATTTTTATTTAATTATTGTTATTACCATTTGTTTTTTGTGTTGGTTCAATTGCTGTTATAACTAGGGCACAAGTTGTGTTTCCCAATGATTGACTATATTCTAAGCAGAATGTGTTGTAAGGTGTAAGATGTGTATGTGGACAAAAAGATGCAATTTGTAATTAACCCTCTCTCTAATGTCTAATGTCTTGTGTAGAATAATGTAAGTATATATATGCCTAAAATGATTGACTTTGTTTTGGATCTCAGATCTAGAGGAGGGGAACACCTACTTTATTTAAATCGCTCCCCTCGTCATGGACCTTCAGTTCTAAGAACATACAGGAAACCCTATAGCATCTTCTAATACTCATTCCATCTCATTTTATGTGACGTGTACGTCACCAACCAAGTATATGTTATACCTATTGACCTTCTCGGTTTAAGTCAATCAACTATAAATAACTTAGATTAATTTATCTCTTTGTGATCTTTTACCGGCTAAGATCACAAATCAGGCCTCACAACGAACTTTATCTAAAACACACTTTTCGAATAATGACAAACTTTATCTAAAACACACTTTTCGAATAATGACAAGAAAAAGTATCAACAGTTATGCCATGGACTCGAGTCCACATTGCAATGTGAACCCGATTCCAAAATACACAATTTATATACTGAATGTTCACAATATAAATTGTGTACATTTTTAAAAAAAAAAACTCGGGTCAACCCGGGTCCACAAAATAATTTGCCAAAAAGCATATGTTATACCACATTACCACTCAATGCCTCAATGCTCAGTATATAAATGAGTGATGGGCTTACTGTTCAGGCCCCGCAAGCCTATATATCACAAATGTAAAACAACCTATTTTAGGAAGTTTGGAAGACGAAATATTTCTTTAAAAAAAAAAAAAAAACAAAACAAAACTTTACTCTCGAAGAGTTTGTGTATCATAGGATTGAAGTAGTCTGTTCATTAACTTCATCATTATGTAGCTAATTAGTGTTAATTAATTCCATGTTATATCTCATGGGAGTGACTGTTGTCTGTTCACAATCTAAACCACCTTGTAGTATTCCCTTCATTTACTCCATTGTTATCATGTAATGATCTTTCAAGTCCTGTAACTTACGCCTAAGCATACATATATAACTCTGCATCCCAGAACTGTTCAGAACAGCCATCTCTGATTCTACATCTATTCCATCTCCAATCCACCAATTTCAAGGTTATTAAGTTTAGTTATCATTCATGGCTGCCATGAAGTTCATTCCACTTCTACTAGCAGTTCTCCCATGGGTTCTTGTAACAGCTGCTACAACGGCGTCTGACATGAAGCTGGCTGGCTATGGAGTCACCGGCAGGCTGGACGACGAGGCGAGTGTAATGGGGGAGTGTTGGGATGCCTTGGTGCAGCTGAAATCGTGCACCAATGAGATCATACTTTTCTTCTTCAACGGGGAGGCTTATTTAGGGAAAGAATGTTGCAGGGCCATACGCACCATTCTCTTCCATTGCTGGCCTTCCATGCTCACTTCCATCGGCTATACTGCGGAGGAGGTTGACGTCCTTCGTGACTACTGTGGTGCGCCTGCACCTGTGCCCACAGTGGTTGGTGTCCCGATGGCGTAGCCTTCCGTCTGAGTCGATTGATCACCTGCAGTAGTATTAGAAGATTTGGATATGCATGCAGGTTAACACTTGTTTCTAGAATGCTTTTGAAATGAAAACGTCAGAATAAATTGTCTATGAACTTGTTCACCTTTTTATTTTGTTTATCTTTTCTGTGTTTTCAATGCAAAACTATTGAAATTTAAGCAAGGGAAGGACACTAAAGTGAAATATACATCAATACATCATGATGTGAAATAACTAAATAAGTCTTACCATTTGACGGAGGATGTTGAGTGCAGCATACACTCGACAAGAATGATCCGTATAGTAAGCAATGAAAGCCAATCTGAAATAGACCTGTTCTTACACAGCTGGAATCCATATCTGCTTCAGTTTCTGAATCAGATTTCAGTTCTGAGCTAGCAGCATGATCAGGCAAAACCGAAAATTCTGTACTTTCAATCCATCTGAAGTCGATGGGATCCTTGACTAAATTCAAGTAGTTGCCCTTGTTGATGAGAAAATGCCAGACTTTTGGTGTTAAATTGGTGATGCAGTTCAAGAATTGCCTAGTTGTTTCTGAAAGTTCTACATTCAAATCTCTGCTCCAGATAAAACTAGCCTTACATTTGTTACAACTTTGACTTGAGGATGGTGAAAATTCTGTGAAGCTTGGGCTCGACTCCAAACACGAGTCCCATAGAGAGCTTCTAACCAGACTCAGCAAGGACTCGCCCGCACTCGTCCAAAAGTTGGCGACACAGATTATAAGAGAAGGCTCAAAGCAGAACAAATGGTGAGTTGAACCAGCAAGCAACAAGGAGTATGCAGCACTAGCTTTGCTGATACTAAAAACCTTGAATCGATCCGTATCATTTGCAGGGCTAAGAGCCAATAATTCAGAGGCCAAGACTTTATAGGCAGAGGCGAGTGTTGTGTAGGCATTTAAAGAAAGGTGGTGGAAGGGGTGCAGCTTGAATCTTTCACGTGACTTTTCTCCACTTGGTTTCAGCTTCTTATTAGCATAGCCATGAATAAGCAGGTTCTCAAGCTTACCAGAACAAGATGTGGGGTTGTTGAATGTCATAAAATCATCTACAGCATCATCAAAACATTCAATCAATTTCTTGACGGCAAAATCCCCACCAAAGTTGTTAATGGATGTCGAGGATGGATTATCAAGATCAACAACAGAAATTTCCTGCAGAACAAAGTAGATCAGGAGTCAAATTACATTACTTAAAAAGTAAACAAGTATAGCCTTAAAATCCTAACCTGCAATACACGATCCACATACGTTGCAGGATCTGCGTTACATCTATTGCAGCAGCAAGTAAACCGGTACTTCAACCACAATTCAGATTGTCTCATCCCCTAGAAACAGAAGGAAATTCTGAGTGACCGTAGCTACAACTTTGAGCGAAGATGAATATAAGAGGAATCAGGAAGCTACCTAAAGAAAAAATGATTCTAAATAAATCATTAGAAAATTATTCAAAAGAAAGATCACATTAATTCAAACGAGAAATAAACAGAGAAGTCCATTCAATTTGAAAACGTATCTTGAAACAAATGAGAGGCTTTATGTGAAAGTAACAAAACTTCAGGAACGAAAGTTACACCATAATTTAAAACTAAAGAAAATCTCAAGGAATTTCTTTAAAATTTCTGGAATTCTAGTGTATGGGCAAGTCTGCAGTCCTCAATTACAGATATATAGATGTTCCAACCTTCAAAGTAACATTCTTTGTTATTCTTGCTAGTTGCTACTGTAAAAATTACGGCCATCTAAGTAAACGAACATCAAAGAAAATCCAAGAGCCATAATAGCAACACGTAAATCTAATAACAACAAATGGCACACTAGAGGCAAGCATACCTTACTACCTTAGGTTGCAACAAGTCTATGTATGCTATTAGCAGCTCCTCTCCTTTCTTAATAGCCTTTATACTGCGAACAATCAATCTCGGGCCATATCCTTCCTCATTTCCTGAATTACCACAAACCAAATTAAAAACTAAAATGCATTACTTGTAGTCTGATTAATGGTTTCGTTTCAGGTTCGAGTCTCATCCCAATTTAGATTATTAGAACACATTATGAATAGGTTAGAGTGTAATCAAAAAAATGAAATAAAAAGCATCAAGATACATCATCAAAATTCTTGAAATGAAATGCTAGTAAGAAAGTTCACCTATGGCTGACAAGAATTTGCTGCTAAGATTGCTGTTGATAAGTTCATTTCCATTGGACGCCGGATATATAAGCAAGCGCGGCACAGTTCCAGAGCACGGCATAGTCGAAAACCTGTAAGAGGAATTGGGGGAGCAGCCATGATTGATCCAAGAGAAGCTTGGACCATAAACCGCTACTCCAACGCTGCACCCTGCGCTATCCTGCACCTCCACGGCGTTCGTTAGCACCAAGCAGAGCACGGCCTCCTCCACCGCGCACTCTCCGGCTGACGACGACTCCAAATGCGGACCGTCTCGCGTCCTCCTCGCAGCTGCCATAGCTCTCGCGCCTTCTTTGATTCTCTCCAAAACCTCGTCATCTTCGTCGGATCCCATCCTCAACAATTCCGCGCGATTCGTCATCAATCCTCCGATCCTATCAAATACGCCGTCGTTCCGGGAAACGAGACGGAGCGTTTCGAAGCGGTGGAGGAGACGGAGGGAGAGGCGGAGGTCTGAGGAGTCGGGATGCGTGGAAGGTGGCGATTGGCGGAGGAGATGGAACTCCGCGGAAGAGAAGTGGAGAGGAGAGTCGAGAGAGGCGCAGCGAGGTGAACAGTAAAGAAGGAAGGGCGAGGGGACATGGTTGGCATTAGTAGAGAAGGAAGGGGCAGAAGCGAGAGGAGAGAAGCAGGCGGAGCAGTTAATAAAGCGGCGGGAATCGTGCAGGGCGACGGCGATGGGCGGTACCGGAGGAGTAAGGTCCTGCCCAATGCCGACGTCTTCCACCGCTCTCATCTCCATTTTCGCAACTTTCCTTTCTGCCACCTGTAATCAAACTAAAAACTCACCGCTTTTGGTCCTTCGCCGTCAAGATCGTATTCTCTGCATAAACCATTCAAATTAAGAACATATTCTCTGCATAATCTAATCTATAGAATCAATTCAAATCTATAGAATCAATTCAAATTAAGAAGATCGTGTTCTCTGCATAATATAATTTATAGACAATCAATTTAAATTAAGAAGATCGTATTCTCTGCATAATCTAATCTATAGATGATCAATTCAAATTAAGATCCGTAAACTACTTTAGCTAAGAGTTAAATTTGTAACTGTACACATCTCATTTTATATGTATTATAAACCATTTTAAGTTGATTTTATATACTTTTTCATATTAATTAAATCCAGATGCATTATCCAATCATGTCTCAGTCACCTTTTCTTTTAGACTAAACACTTAGCAGCGCCTCCCTGACCGGCCATCCTGCATTCACCATAAACCATTTTGAGTTGATTTTATATACTTTTTCATGTTAATTAAATTCAGATGCATTATCCAATCATGTCTCAGTCACCTTTTCCTTTAGACTAAACACTTAGCATCGCCTCCCTGACCGGCCATCCTGCATTCACCACTCACCTTTTCCTTTAGACTAAATACTCCGGCATCTTGTTTAGTAGCGCCTAGCGCCTCCCTGACCGGCCATCCTGCATTCACCACGTGGAAAACTCAACTATTCAAAGGGCGCATATACTTCTCCGTCAAAGAAAGTATACTTCAACTCGGATATACGGAAATTAAATACATCAACTATATTGTTAAGATTGTATCAAATATTATTCATAGTATCTCAGTGCTATTAGATATATCATGAATGGTTATATTCAATATAAATTAGTTTTGTGTAGATTATTACCTTATACTCCCTTATAGGCTTATACATTCCCTTAAAATGTTATATAAGGATTCCACAATCCAAACACTAACCTTGATGTTTACCCATCCAAATGGTTAACAAATTGCAAAAATGCTATTTCATTCTATCTAATTTGAGTTAATATTATTCCATTCTAGGCATATTCCGTAAAATGTAAACCAATATGGTGTTATATCATGAATCAATCCTGAGTTACAGAGAGAGAGAGATGGACACACAAGTTAATCTCTTCCATCTCACAGCACAACCAAACATAAGATTTCACCTACAACACAACATCAGGCTGTAAAAAACTGTGGTAAAAACAAAAATCCCATATTCTTACATGGTTCTCTCTAACAAGTTGAGAATTTACTACAACAACATGCAGTTCCAAAACGTTTCCGAGGGCGAGGCAGAAACAGAAAATCAACCGTCGCTGGTGAGTATGAAGACGATGAGAACTATAGACAGCGAGAAGAAAATGGTTGCGCCCGAGAACAGCCACAGCACTTTGCTTCTCGGGCTCTGGTTAACGTGGCCCCCGCTTAGCTCTACTTCTCTCAGGAGCGCTCTAACTTCGTCCATGTTGCTGTCCTTGGCGGCTCGCATTAGCCTGGGCTGTATCTTCTCGAGCTTCACGAGCCTCCTGTCTTTCGATTCGTCTTTAACGGGCCAGAAAAGACCCACCATCTTCCACAGGCATATGCCCATGTAGATGGCCACAACAACGTCCACGCTGTAATGATGGCGTTCCCTTATCTCTCTTTGGGCGCTATGGAACAGAAGAATCCAGATGAGCGCAGAGCTATATCCACCGTAAGCTTCCTGCATTAGTTTTAAACGACAGATGAGACCCTACATTACATGAAACCAATGTTGAAAAAATCGCTAGGCGCCTGGGGACCGCCTAGGGCGCCTAAGCCGCCTAGGAGACCGAGCGCCTAGGCGCGGATTAATCGGCGCCTAGGCGCGATTTTTGCAACACTGCATGAAACAAATGCAATTTTCGCTCAATAGACCGCAGCACAGCCAGTGTTGAAAAAGACGCTAGGCACCCGATTTAACTTTATTTATTTATTTATTTATTTATTATTTTTAAGGTTATTCGCCAAAACGATGTCCTTTTGGCGAATAACCTTAAAACACACACACACAAAAAGGGTTAGGCCGGCTAGGCAGCCGACGGCGGGGAGGCCGATTCTAGCGTTCCTCGACGCGGCCGGGCGCCGCCTGGTGCCTAGGCGCCGATTTTTGCAACAGTGAGCACAACACGTGTGAAATGAGAGGAATTAGGGGCATACCGTCCATGCCATAGCTGTTAGTACAGCAACAAGCATGTGGCCGCTATATATAAGGTCATTGCAGCCACCTCCCGCTTTCTTCAGCAGATGGTACCATGAAGATTTACCCTCGGAGGCTGTAGGTCGCAAGAAATCAATAAGAAAGTTCATCACACCCCAATTGGGACGGAAATCCCCTTCGTATTCCCCAGGATCAGCTGAAAAGAATAGCAGAAATATTTACGAAGATGTAGTAATAGTTATCCTAGAAGTAAAAAGAACGTTTTTTATTCCAGAATATTGCAATGTAACTGACGTTCTTCCTGGTTTTACGTATATCTAAGCAACCATTGGCATATAAAGTTGTACGTAAAAAGAAGAGGATAGAATACCATATGCAGTATCCCAGCTAATTAATTGGCGTATAGCTTGAGAGTCTTTGGCGTATGGAACATAATACTTCTGAGCCCACCGATGAGGGTGATAAGGAACACGAAAACGAGCTTCCGCACACCAAGGCCGTGCAGATGGCAGAATTGTTGACACGAACGCAATGGTGCGAAGAAGACGCCCGACACCCATAGTGAACATGTATCTAGCACCAAGCCCAAGTCCCGGAGCTTCAACAGAGTTAAAGAGTACAGAAAAAGCAAGCATAATAAACAGCATCAAGAAATGATGCAATCCAATTATACGAGCTCTTAATACATCAACCAATGTTCCCGGTAGCTTCTCGTTCAAGGCCAGCAGCAACCACTGCCCAACATCGGGAAGAGGCGGTGTTTCACTGTCAGATTGTAAACCGTATCAGTAAACGTAATGCCCAGAGAATCAGTACACAGAGACACAACATTCAAAGGGAAACGGTTTATACAAACAAAAACGCATATTCTTCACACATCAATTACATAATTATCAAGTCTCATGTCCTCAAGAAATACTCCCCCATTCCATATAACATTATGCTCCATTCTATAATGAAAAGACTACAACCCCACCCAAGTTGGTCAAACTATCGACCAGTAACCACAAGGTTACAAGTTTGACTCCTCGTGAGAGAAGCATATTGGCCTGGTTGGTTTGAGTCGATTAGTTACAGGCAACCTAGGTTACCTAGGCTTATTTTTTTGGTGTACCCAGAGTTTCCACCGTCAAACACAGTGACTAATCCCCTCGTTGAATTATAGGCACCTCTTTTGGGTAGGACAGCTGGCCTGGAGATTTAAGGTAGCTCCATACCCAAAGGATCACCTAGGCTAGTTTAGCTCATTATCGCCTTGCTAGTCAGTTATACGCAACCTAAACTGGTTTTCCATCTTGTGGTCCTTTTCTGGCTAGGCTCACAACACAAGGTTTACCCGATCACACACTCGGGTAATGGCTGCAATTTCTCTCATCACTCAAGTCAGCTGGGAACAACAATCATCAGTTTTATGAAGCTAAGATGTAGGAGTAATCAGCAGGAGAATCATCCTGCAGATCCCAAGTCAGCCATTAATGGTTCCAATCAATGAATGATTGAATCACCATCCCAAAAAAACAAGTTTCTTCTTAGATACATGGATTAAAGAATAAAGACTTTGATCTTTTTTCTAGTCACTATTGTCCAGTAACCAAATCTGAATAACCAATTTCCTCAGAATCTAAAAATTACTCAAAAAAATTTACAGAAGAATACAATAGAGGGCAATGTGAGCAACATACTTGTTCCAATCAAGGCCGAGGACGGCGGTGACAGAGCGGACGGAAATGGCTTCGAGGAGGAGGGCGGAGAGCATGAAAAGCACGGCGAAGATGAAGGGCGGTGCGGAGCGGAGCTCGGCGGACCAGTGGTTGTAGAAGGGGATGCGGATGATGGCGGCAATGGCGAGAGCGGTCCAGAGCAGAGGCTGAACCCACGCGTGCAAAGGCGGCGAGACGAAGCGGAGGTAGTCGACTCCGATGTAAGCTAGGGCAGCGAATCCCAGGCCGCTGCCTCGCCGGTTCTTCAAGATCGCCGCCCCCCACGACGGCGGGCGCGGCATCTTTGGCTTTGATCTGAGAATATACGCGGTTAAGGTCAGATATATTCGGAATTCCACTGTTTTCTTCCCCATTTTTACCTTTTACGGTCTTCGCTTTCTCCAAACCTGTTGCCATTTACCTCTGTAACTGTAATATTCTTACTTTTTATTTTTGGTCAGGACCTCTGTAACTGTAATATTATAATCATAAATATTACCATAAAAATTGTAATTTCTTTTATAAAATCATAAAAAAAAAAAAACAATTATTATATATTTTATTTCTTTAACATAATTCTCATCCTCCTAAAACTAATTTAGATTTATTTAAAATAGAGTAAGAGCGGTTTAAATTTGTGGTTACCAAGCCAACTGTCCAATTACTAACTTTGCTTGAATTATCCCTTAAATTTGTGGTTACCAAGCCAACTGTCCAATTACTAACTTTGCTTGAATTATCCCGCTTGAATTATCCCTTAAATTTGTGGTTACCAAGCCAACTGTCCAATTACTAACTTTGCTTGAATTATCCCTTTAAGAATTGAGAGGTTGATCTTGTTAGTAATAATATATAATTATGTTATAATATATAGTTTAGTTCTATGTGGCTGTTATTTACCTGACTAGTCTAGTCTATTGTATAGGAGCTTTTAGTGGTAGCTTTCCTATAGATTTCTCAGTTGTAATCTCTTTCCTGATTGAATGAGAATTGAGTTGTTCATCGATCTGACAAAAAATTCAAAATAGGCATCTCGAAATATCAGAATAATTTGTGATCTATTACATAGAAATATGTATTCAGACTTCAGTGCACATCATCCAATATTGATCTATAAACTTAATGTGTAATAATATAAGAAATTTGATACACATTATTCTACATTGTTTTGTGGTGTTGGCCTGTTAGTTCTTCTAATGCATTGAATTGCAAAGACCACGAATGATAAGAGCAAGGCCGAGCCTGCAACAATGGGAGCACATAATATACTACTGCATTTCTCCCCACCTTCTTCTTCTTCTTCTTCTTCTCTCCTTCTGTGATCTTCATCTTCTTGATGAACATCACCTTCATCACTCCTTGGCAGCTCTTCTTCATCTGCAACTTCTTCCTGTTTTGCACCTGAAGATTCACCTTCATCGCCTGTTTGCAGGCTAGTTTCTTGATCATCTTCTGGTGAATCCTCATCAAGAATAATCAACTTGTCATCTTCCCATGAATCTTGTCCATGTTCTTCTTCACTACCCTGCAATTTCCTCTCAGGTTTTCTGGGACTTTGAGGAATCTCTGCAGATTCCTGTCTGGGAATCTCCTCTATTATTTCCTCAACCACACTTCCAACCATTATTCCTGTCACTGTTTTTGGCATTGAGACAGTGAGCACAGATTCATCTTCATTAAACATGGCTTCAATCTTGTCCAAAACCACTCCATTAGGAATTCTGAAAGATTTCTTCAACTTTAAGGTTTCTGTTCCTTTCTTGTACAGTCTCCATCCCATCATTACTGTCTCCTCAACTGCTTTCTCACCACCTATCACCATTACACTCCCATCCTCATTGATCTCAATCTTTATATCTCCTCTCTTATAGCCTGCATGCATTTTCCCATATACGTTTCATAACAATACAATTAATCATCATAATTAAAAACAAAACGGGAAAACCATACTTTTGGTTAAAATATAATCTCTCGATATCAACTTTAAGAAATCTAGCCTGCAGAAATAAAATATCAAAAACGAAAAAGAAAAAAGCAGATCGAACTGGCCTCTAAGATGGGCTGTTAGGATGAACATGGTGATGGTTTCTTTAGACTGGAAAAGAGGGCTTCTGTGATCTTTCAACAACTGGAAATTAGCAGAGCTGAACTCATCTGCAGGCCTTGTGAGCTTCAACCCCAATTCAACATCCATTCTTAATTTTCTTTGACTGCTGCAATGAAGTTAATTGGTTGAATGTATATATATATATATATATATATATATATATATATATATATATATATATATATATCTGATCTGTGTTGTAAAAGTAAAGAATATATAACAGGAGTTCTATACTGGCAGGCATTAAAGGTGGCATATATATATGCAGGCATATATGCAGTGCTTATACTTGTCTTCACAAAACATATAATGGTTATGCTTTGATTGGGATGCTAAAAGATGGCAGCCGATTTCTGAGATATTTGCCTTTGGCAACAAGCTTCTGTTAGAGATCACCAGAATAAAGTGATGCATGGTGTTATATTATGCTTCTGCTTTAACATGTGAAATGCATTCAAAAAGTTTTGTATAGAATGAGTGTTTGGGAAGTATAACCAAAACAAAGGGTGTTTTGGGCTGGGCAAATAGATTAAGGAACAAAACTATGGGTTTGTTGCCTTCAGCCCAACTTGGGACTTTGTAAAACAGATAATTGAAGTAAACACAGTTGTAGATGTATATATTTTCAGAGGCAATAAATGATCCTTTATTATAGATATAGCTGGAATGAGGTCCACAGCAGCTGTACAGTGCTAATTAAAACTGAGTTTAAGTTCAAATCAGAGAAAACTTTTGACAATAAAAGCACAACAACCAGCACATTGAAGTAAAGATGGCCTGTGGTTCATGTGGCCTCTCATATTCCTCACATATCTGACATGTATCTGAAATGTCAATTCTTGCCTTTTCAAGACAAATGGTTTGGTTGGTGGATCTCCCATTGCCAGCCATGGCTCTTGTACTCGATCAGGTCCTACGGTTTAACCTAAATGGCCATACTATTAGGCTGGCGGCTGCCAATTCCAGTCCCTGTCAATGAACATCACCATATGGAAAGATGAGTTTGGCAGGCCAAACCATGGGACTCCTCATTCTGTACTCATCCTCAGCTCACAACTAAAACAAAACATATACTAACTGCATCTACAATGTCCACCACTTTCTTGTGCCTAGCAAACCGCTTGTTATTGTATGGTTAATTTTGTTTGTGTATGTTGAAACTATGCATTTTGTTGAACCTTTGGTCTGGCTCTGATACCAAATTGAAGCATGTGTTCCATCTCAACTAAAAGCTGATAGTTGGATTGCACATTAATGGCAACTAAAAGCTGATAGTTGGATTGCACATTAATGGTTATATGCTCAACAGGTCAAAGGCCCAAGATTCAGTTCCACAATACTCGATACAATCAGACATGGAACCAGAAAAACTGGGTAGCAGGGATTGATGATGTTGTAGCCATGATTCAGATTCTAAGAAACACTACAATCAGACAGGAAAACTGGACAGCAAAACATGTTGGCAAACAAGTACAGAATTCTTGGCTGGTGGACTGCATCTCTTCTATCACCATTGTACTGGATTGCTACAGATTAAGGTGTCAAAGGTAAGCAAGAAAACAAGAACTTGACCAAACCCTCAAACAAGCTTCTCTGTCTAGCTCACATGCAATGATGCAAAGGATCATAACATGAACTAGAGAAAGATTCATCAAAGTTACAACCTTGGACAAACAAAATTCTGGTTCCAAAAGGGAGTTCATTCATTCATTCATGTGAATTGTGATCCATACCGAACACACTAACAAAAAACTTTGTTTACATAACATCAATCAGAACTTCTGCTCATCTATATGTCGATATCTGTGTTCTCTCTATGTACTCTAAAGACCACATCAAGAAACAGCATTGCCTTGAGACAAACTTAAAATCAATTGCAGGGAGAAATGCAAGTTAAAACATATCTTTTATTGTACAGATAGAACACGAGTAATAGTAACACCAAGGATCCAAAAGATCCAAACTTTTTCCCTAGTTTCTTTACATGATATATATTGTTAATAGATACAAGACTTTCACCTTTATAAAACCTTATTTTTGGCACACGGCCTCGTATCATTGTTTCAAGAGGGACAAAATCATTTGCCATTATGTCATTCGTGATTCGGTCTTCCAATGGAATCAAGCCCCTCGGTCCTGCTGCGAACGATCTTATGGAACACTTCCCTAACTTGGCACTCCAAGGGGTTAACTCCATCCTTGAGTGCATCGAAAAGGAGTGCAAGCTCTTGCACTCTCTCCCTCACTTCTCCCTCTTTTTCCTCGGGCAAGGGGAAATGATGAACCGAATCGATCAATTCGTTCATGGTCCTTGCCCATTTCTCAATGCCATGAATCTCCTTCAACAATCCACAAGCATTCCTCCTGTCCCTCTTCTTCGACTCCTCGAGAATCCTCTCGTGGAGGGAGAGGAGAGGGCCTGCCCACGCGAATTGCTGCTTGTTCACATAGAAATGTGCCTGCAGGCCACGATCCTGGCAGGGAATCGCAGCCACGAGAGCCCACATTGCAAAGTAGAGAACATAGTTCATGGTGAAAACGGCCAAAGCTAGGCCATTCGAGGCCACGATTTCGTTGGTTCTTGGAGCAGCTAGATTGCTCCCAATGGTCTGAAGCTGCCTAGCAGCAGACCAGTTCCGGGAAACACTCCAAGAAAGTGATCGGAAGTGGCTCAAAGACTTATTATCCCTCTGCAAATTGCGCCCGAAAGAGCGGTTTCTATAGGCAACAGAAGAATTAGAATTAGAATTAGTCTCTTTCTCGTCGAGCATAGAAATGGCCAAATCAATCATGGCTTTCTTGGCGCGGCGAAATTGGCCCTCGCCCAGACACCTCTGATTGTCCAAAGCACACAACACAATCTCCAGATGCTTCCGCCACTGCCTGATCTGCTCAATCCCGTCGCGAATCGCATTGCACACGTCCAAAGCCTTCACGCTCCGCTCGAAATACTCGCAAATGTAGCGATCCATGGGGGCTTTCTTCAATCCCCCCTTGTTGTTCAACACGATGGACCTGAACTCGTCCTGGCAGCACAGGAAAACGTCGAGCAGCTTCCGGACCCACGGAATGGACAGCAACTCGCCGGAATCCGCCGCCAACAAGTCGGCGAAACGCGCCGCCACTAGCTTCTGGAAAGCGTCGAGCTCGATTTCTTGGTTGGAGGCCTCCGGCGCCGTCTCCATTGAGTGGACCTGGCCGCGCCGCATGCTCATAATGGACCGCCCGAAGCTCGAGAAGGATGTCGTCGATGTCCCCTGGTACTCCGTCGCAGGCATTTCCACCAAATTACATGAAACGGAAGCTCAAAACACCAGAAAAAATCCGAAATCAAAACACAGAAGCTAAACCCACATCACAAGATTGAAACTTTAACACAAAGAGAGAAGAAAACTAGTCTGTAAAGCTGAACTCAAGCTCTACAGACGAGAATTGGAGAGAAACTCAACACTAATAACAAGAAAATTCAACAACCCCCCAGATTCAAAGCTTCAACAAGACTAGCAATTATCGAGATTTCTCAAGCCCAGAGCCCCAGAAGTTCAAGAGAGAACGCACAGGTAGAGGGTAGAAAAATATGGTCGCTTGAGAATTGAAGAAAGAGAGAGTGTAAGAAGGAAAATGAGGAATGGCCTCGAGAGTTGGGAGTTGGAACCCTAATAGGAGGGGGTTTTTAAGGGGGCTGATTTGGACCGCGTATTGGTTAGTTGGAAAAAACCGAAAAACAAATTCAATAATTTCTTATCTTAAACTAATATATTTTCCATTGGAATTTGGATAATGCTACATTTTTTCTATTTAATTGTGATTCTTTTTTTAAAACACCCATGATTTAATTGTGATTTTAAATTTATATATTGCTTAATATTTGATATAATATTGTGTGTGTGTGTGTGGAGCTACACGAAAATATAGAGCTAATTACTCAATTCACAACTAATTCTGAATTGTATTACAAAATGTATCAGATGATAGCACGATCCCAAGCTAAGATCACCAATATCAGTAAATATTTTGTGATTTTTGAAACATTACATGATGATATGGTGGAGAGAGAAGGCAAGAGAGAGAAAAATAAAATTACTCTGCAAGGGAGGGCTTCTTTTTTTTTTTTTGCATAAATGTGGGACCCACTGAAGAAACTCTCCAGTCGTGCCAAGCCGCGTGGCTGTCACAAGTGCGCCCAACGGACGCGTTAGGCGCACTAACAGTTACTTTAAAAAAATTAATTTTGTTTTAATTTTTTTTATCTCCCCTCTCATATTTTCTTTCATAATCATATTTATAAAAAACTCATTTCTTAATTATATCTGCAAAAACTTCTCAAAAATCGCAGTGGTTAAGGATACTCTAAATTGAATATTTAGGTTTTATTTTCTGATATTAAGATGATTATTGTAAATTATAAAATGTGAGTGAGGCGAGAGCTGAGTCTTGTGTTCGTAGCCTCGTAGGCGCGTGGGACTCGGTCCGCAGACTGCAAATATGAAATATGACAACCTACGGGCAACAATAGCACTTCTCTCATCTTCATTGTTTCTTCTAGAAAATGACACACACCAATTAAACCTATGAACGACTTTGAGGATGCCAAATGGAATTTTGTTACCTTTCACCTCAAAACAAATTAATAATAATATAATAATAATAAAATGAACAAATGTAGTATACACATTTTTGGACCTCAAGACACCAACTAGCCATGCAAAGATCATCGTCAACTAAGAAACACCCGTTAGTTAAGTCTTCTTTAACACAATAGAACCTTCAAACACTTACATTCAATTCTTCGAACATATTGAATGACATATTAGTAATACCATATTTTATTCTCTAAGATAATTATAAGTATTGACCGTAGTCGTCATAATAAATGTACATCCATCCATGACATTCAAAGTAATATTTTGCTACTCTATATAGTTTTATAATACCATATTTTATAAAATTAGTTTACCAATAATTGCATTTGATGTGGTGATGTATAATATGATTTATATCAAATAATGTCATACTATTAGATTAGTTGGTCAGAAAGTTATTGTTTTTATTTTCTTTTGTCACTTTATTAGGCCACGTAAGATGTCATCATCAGGGTAGACTTTATGTGCTAAATATAACCATTATTATTGGAGAAAACTAATGTTTATTTTATTATTTTTAAAATATATGAAATATAAATACTCAATACATTCAGTATATATATAATGATGTAAATACACTTTACGTTTAAAATACACGTTAGTTCAATTGGTATAAATAATAATTTAGTCAAAACACAAGAGAGTCTAATCTTAATGGAAAAGAGTAAGAAAATGCTAATGTTTAATTAATTCAAAATTATGTACTTAATAGCTTTAATTTGTTCACTTATGAACTCAGATTAAAATATATTAACAATAATCAAACTCGTAACATTTAGATATACAAAAAATATATTTCACTCAATCAACCACCCTTTCATAACATGCAATCAAAATATTTGAATCAACATGACTTTAAACCTCACTTTGGAATTTTTCATTTAATTTGTAGCATGTGAGAAGACCAATTTGGCTGATTAAAGAATTAGTTCAAATCTTCAACTAGAAAGTGTAATGGGTCTATCCATTTCAGGTGTACCACGTTCAAGACTTTATAAAAGGGGGAAAAAAATGGGTTTTAGAAATCATGAAAACAACATTGTCAGTACCAAGTTGTCACATGTCCATTATATAATTCAATCATAAAACTCTTTTCACATACTATAATATTGGAAACCTAGATACTTTCATAGCTATTACATGGTAAAAATATAATAGTTGAAAATTTTAAATAATAATAAAAAGAAAGTAATTATCCAGCTAAGAAGAATCAGACAACATACCAAAGATGGAATAAAAGTTTTATAAATATTTATAATGTCTTTTTTTTTTTTTTTTTTGTTTTTTTGGTGTCGTGTAAACCATCATACAAATACCAAATCCACATAATAAAATGAATGTTTTTGTCGGATGTACAAATACACACACGTATGCTTTGACGTTTCCAAGGTAGCACAGTAGTGTTTGTCACGAGCTAAATTGAGGGATATTATTAGAGCGATTTATTTATTTATTAACATAATTGACAAAATTAAGAAATCATGTTGGCATATAAAAATAAAAATAAAATTATTTTCTCAACTAACATAGAAATGCGTGTGCACATATGATAGTTGTGTGACTTGCGAGCCACCTCTAGTCATATTTTTACTGTCCGAAAATGTGCATTGGATAAATCATAATTTTATGTAATTACACATCTGATCAAGGTCAATATTACTATTATAGGCTGTTTGGTTGGGCGTAATTTGGCTGTAGTTGAATTGCAATTAAGTGGAAGCCTCAATTACACTGTTTGGTTGGAGGGAATTGCAATTCCCTCCTTTTGCTGAATTGCAATTCATGGGCACCCCCTATGAATTGCAATTCGGTGGGGTGGGAAAAGGAAACATAGATGAAATGACAAAAGTACCCTTAATTATTACTACTATTATTATTACACAAGGACATTTTAGTCTTTATATCACTTCTATCATTCCCTACCAAATAATTCTATTCATCCCTACCAAACAATGTAATTTGAATTCCTACCTTATTTCCATCTTATTCTTTTCCCACCGAATTGCAATTCCTTTCCACCCTAATTCCTTACTCCCAACCAAACGCCCTGTAAAGATCATGTGTAACGGGCTCGACTGAGGGTATTGGTAATAATCGAACTCGGAATTTTGTAATACTTCAAATAAATTTTTGCATTCACGTTGGTTGTACTAGATGCAATTATCACTTTAAAATGTGTGTGTGTGGGAGAGGTGGTTCGATTAGCGTTGATGTCAATAATACACGATAGAATTACTGATATTGATTATCATTATAGAAGTTTCTTAAAAGCATAATTTCTTTAGTGAATATAATAATTCCTTATGTATAAAATTAGGCGCAAATTAAAATGAAATCGAGTTTTGAATTGAAACTTAGATTTACGATAACAATAAAAAATTCAATGAAATATGAATGTTAGGTGGAAGAAAGTTGATGTTGGCTAGCTTTAACCCTAACTCAAGACAATAAGAAAAGAACACACATCTAATTAACCTTAATTATTGCAATTAACCTCAAACATTAAGTAATGAGATTAATTAGTGCTGCCTTTCTCATTTTCATTTGCACTTATTGGAATTGCTAAAGGAATCAGTCCAAACGAGTATTGACAAATGATTTCAATTCATGTATGTGTAGAATCTCAATGTAATGCTCATAACAATTAAACCTAAGATCCTTATATCATAGTCCTTAATTATATATTAGGAGTGTACAAAACACTTATCTTTTTATTCTTAGATAATCAGCAGATGTTGTTATTAAAAATAAAAAATAATTTTAAAATCATATTCTCTTAAGTCAAACAATGCTCGAACCGTGTTCCACTAAAACATCATAAATAGATGGGACTGGCTCCTCTCACACTCGAATGCCAAGATCAAACTGCAATGTTAATTTTGAGATTTTTAATCTGTAATCCTATTTTGTTCCCTATAAATATGGTTAAGCTGAACATCCCAATGTCGACTCTTCACCTATTTGCAAGCCTCCAACATGTTGATTAAAGGACCAGAAGGCGCTTCACCATCGCCCGACCATTTAATATCCGTGTCCAGTCACACAATATATATAATTTAATAACAATAAGCTACATTTATTTTCAACCCATAAATCTTACTTCAAATATATATCATCACTATCCTATTTTCCATGTACCAAAAGTAAAACTCTTAGATACTATGCACGTTTTTGTATACTTCTTCAAAATGTGTAACATCACAACTTAAAGAAATATGGTATCATATATAGAAAAATCATATTTAATCAATAAATGGGACAAATATCGCTTGACGAGTCAAATCTTTATTATTTATAAACAGTGTTTAAACGTTTATTTATATATTTAGGGATAAGGAGGAATCAGTCCGACAGACCAATGTTAACGTTTGTATCTCTCAACTTGCTATCCTTGGACCTAGTATAATAGTATGTAGGGCCCACTAGATGGAGATGGATTACCTATAGAATTCTGTTTTTCCACTACAAATCTGATTTTACAATTTTTTTTTTTAAAAAAAAAAGATTAATGTATATAGGACAACGATTAACAAATAAATTAAAAGAATAATGGTGTATCTATCCATTAAAGTTGACAGAACTTCAATTATAATATTTGTTTTTACATGCTTGCTCTAAAATGGTGGTTTAAAAAGTTATTAGTGTACTAAAAAATGTTGATTTAGGTAAAAAAAAAAAAGTGTAGTAAAAGAAATTTGAGTCATTTATGTGTACGTAACAACATATTTGAAAAACATGAGTATATGATTTACTCCTCTTATGTGGTTTACGTGCTATTAAACATGAGTATGTTTTACTTAGTGCACAACCATAACTAGTGATTGCGAATTTTCATTATCACAAAAAAAAGAAGCTAGAATATGTTTATAAATAAAGTAATAATTAGTTACAAAAATATTATTGTCTATATCTATTTATAGTGATATAAATAGTAAATTTTCATGAGCATTATAAAATTTTGTATTATATTAATATTACTATAAAATTATAAAATGAGTGGACCAAATCTTGGA